TGGTCCTCCATCTCAAAAATGTGTTCTTGTGCTAAAGTGGAGACCAACAATCAGCTCCAGCGTGAGCTATTCTCATCACATCCGCGGGCAATCTTTTGTGGGTTCTGTCAGTAGGCTTTTCCTATGTTCAAACCCTCGCATACTTCCGAGAGACTCCAGTCTCTTGGGCATCACCTGCCCACTCCCCAGGAACTCCTACCCCACCTCAACCCACTCTCTGTCCTGCATCCTGGGTGCTTGGCCCCCTCTCCCCAGGCCAGCTCACTGGAGGTGGACTCAGCTTCCTACCAAAGAGCCTCTCACCTGTTCAGGACCCCACCCACTCTCACTGCTCAATGGCTTGGCCACACTGAATCTCTCCCCCTCTCTTTTCTTTCTTTAGTCTTTTCCTTCACCTGGCTTCTTCCCACCTTCACTAAAAGGTTATTCAATAATGCTCTTTTCAAAGCTATTTCCTATCTTCCTGTCCCTGCACAAGTAACATTTTTATCTCTTTGGACCCTCACAGATATCTTTACATGAAATATGTTTTACTTTCTCTTCCTACGCAGCCCTGGTTAAAAACATAATATGAGCTGTGCTAGGGCCACACAAAACGATGACCTTCGGTCTTAAGCAAAAGCACCTGCCGATGTGGGTGCCACAGTTTGAAATCTGTGTTTCCAGATGAACTGTTTAAGACCAGGTGATACTGTATTCAGCTTTCTCTAATACAGAGTACCTGGTAGAACAAGAGAAGACAGGAAAATACACAAGGAGATTGCAGAGAGTGTATAGCCTAGGCAACTGGGTGATGTAACCACAAACCAAGGCAGGCCATGGACTGCTGCTGGCCACAAGGCATGAAGTCTTCTCTAGAGTCAGCAGGGGAAGCATGGTTCATCCACCTTGTCACAGTGGCCTGCTGGCTAGCACATTGTGGGAGACAAGATCGTGAAATTACCCAGTTGGCAGTTGCAACAGCCCTAGGCAAGAAAAACCCAGACTATGAGTTCTTATGGAATGCAGATCACTGGCTTTTCAAAAGCACAAAGTTTCGACACTAGAAGAAAAGGCTCGGACAACCAGGGCAAGGTGCCTCCTCTGCCTTCCGGCCCAGGCTGAACTTGCACAATGCATTATCAGACTTTCATGGCAAACCCTGTCTTTAAAAGAATCCCTCACTGAGATATGGAATGTCTTGCCGTTGACTAAATCCATCCTTCTGGGGCTTATGGGCTTCCCAGACCACAGGTATTCTACCCCTCGCATTTGCCTCCCTAAATAACCATATTTGGAGTAAAGATCCAAGATCCTAGATATCAATGGAGATTCCTAGACACTTGGGTTCTCTATTATATATTATATTATATATTATTATTATTATTATATATAACTACAGCTCTCTCCAATTTCTAGAACCACGTCCATTTCTGATTTTCTATATTTGTGTTACCATCTAGAATTCAGTTTCTTCCTCTTGCTGCCTGTGATCACAGCAGAAGCCCCAGATGCTGGCCCTATGGCCACACATTTCCTTCCTCCCTGTGGAGGTTAATCTTCAGATATCTGTCCATGGCACACACATCGAAACCCCCACTCTTTATGATAGCCTTAGCCACTTCGCCTCCTTCCCTTTTACCTAGGATAGGATGCTGTGACTCATTCTGTTCTGTGTGTTTGCTAGGACCTGTGGGGCACCTTCCCCCACTTCAGCACTTAACACTTGTGCACTTCCTTCCTCTGGGATATCTGCCCCTTCCTGAGGTTCACAAGCTCCTGGCAGCCATCAGGGACTCAGCTCTGCCATGAGCTTTTCCTAGAAACCTTCCATAAATGATGCTGGGGCTGGGGCTGCCTGACCTCCATGCTCCTCTCCTGGGTTCCATGCACAAGACACAGACACCTAACCGAGTGTGATATGAAGGGCCTTTGGTTCTTAGACACTGGCTTCTCCTGAACTGAAGTTTAGCGCTGATGTTGTTGGCAACAGGCACTCATTAGATGTTTGTTACATGTTCACTAAAAATAAGCAACTTAGAGCTGATGGAGTGCTTGCCTAGCCCCGGGGAAAAGATCATTTACAACACTCTGAGATGTCATCTGTGAACTGTGGGATGGACTCAGATGGCAAACCCTGACAGCATACCCTGCTGGCACGGGTGCAGGGAACAAACCCTCAAGCAACGATACCTTCAATAGGCGGAATCTAAAATGTACAGCCAAACCACCCAGGCCCTTTTACTCTTTAGCCTAGAATTCCCAAGCCCTGGGATATCTTTTACTGCAACACTCAGAGATGGTATTATAATAGGACCAGTGCACAGCATAGTAGAGAGGGGCACCACAGAAAGAACACTGGTGTAGATGTGGACATTCTAGTGCCTGAGTTTAACCCATTGCACCAAATTGTACACACACCACCTTTTAGGAGAGATTCCCAGCTTTGATCATGTTTGTACGTGTATGCAGCTTTGTCTGAGCTATGAAAGAACCATCAACCATGAAGAATAAGTAAAGCTTTATGTACATGTAGAGTGGGAACCCAGAACAGAGAATGGATAGAAAAGACAGATTTCTATGAACAAGTCTCATGCCATCAATTTTACATTAATTCTCTAAAAATGAAAAGCAAAATCTAGGAACTAAAATAAACTTAGTTTGGGGTTCTTGGCATGACATGGAGAATGAGATGGCTCTCCAGGACACCAAAGTAGTTATTTGGTTTTAATTTCTCAGTGAAGTACATACCATGAAGACCAAAGGAAAGAAGAAAAATTACCTGGAAAGGTTTTCAGTAAATCCTAGAACTAGGGATTGTGTGGAGCTGCTGTTGTGTAAATGTTGGGTGGTGGGCATGCATTGTAACAAAGAGTGATGGGTCATGCACTGAAATGACAGGGTGGTGGGCATGCACTGTAACAAAAAGTGATGGGTCATGCACTGTGATGAAGGGGTTGTGGGCATGCACTGAACAAAGAGTGATGGGTCATACACTGAAATGACGGGGTGGTGGGCATGCACAGTAACAAAGAGTGATGGGTCATGCACTGTAATGACGGGGTGGTGGGCAAGCTGTATGTGAAAGGAAAAGAAATACGTGCTGCCCTGCGAAGGTACACAGATTCTGGGCACAGCAGAGAGAAACCCAGGCTAAGGTGGCAGATGTTAACTCCTTCGAGCCTAGAGATGACCTGGATGCAGTGGGAGCTCACCGGTCTTATCTTCATACATGTCTCTCTAGGTGCTGTTCACTGAAGCGCCCTAACTGCTAGTGTTCCGAGCACCAGGAAGAACCATTCCCAGAATGATCTGAGGATGTAGGTAAGAGAATAGCAGCACCTTTGACTCAAGAGACCCAAAGTTACCACTGAACTCAAGACCCAACTTCAGGATGCTCTCCTAGGCTGAAAGAGCATCGTTCTAACATCCCCAGGGGCAAAAAAAGAACAATGAAAAAATCTATCAATTATATTAAATTCATGTATTGATATCAATCTGATCAAAGAGAAAGGAAATCAACAGGAAACCTAACTTCTCAGATCTCCTGGAATGACAAATGAGCAGCTCGATGTCAGGGAACCCACTAACTCGAGTAAAAACAACATGGAACAAAAGCCAGTAGTGGTGGGTAAGCTCAGCCCAGCTTTCCCCTCCCAGCTGCAAGGCAGTGGAGTTCAGAACGCAGGCAAAGGAAGCTTGGTTCACGTGAAAGCGTGCTAACTAGTAGATGGGGAGAAGATGGTGAAATGAGAGCAGCTCAGGCTTCTCCCATTAGCCAGTGGTTGTAAATCACGGCCAACAGCCACTGGACACTCTGCTTCACAGTCGGAGTTCATCGCTGTGATGTGAGCAGGGCTCTTATCAGGACCTGTGTCACTTGGAATTATGGGTTATAAGGGACACAGGAAAACTCGAATGACACAAACAGGATGCCATGAGCAGAAAGCACACTAGGTGATTGGTTCCATTGCTTTAAAAGATGTTTTATTTTCAAGGGAAATGAGAAAAATGCAATAAAATATTTAAAGACATCCAAGAACTATCCAAGAAAACTCTACTATTTGGTTTTCAGTAGATCCTTGTTTGACCCACAGAATTCACATCCTCATGAGACTGAAAATTCACTTCATGGTTTTAGGAAATGTTTTATTTGGAAGCCTTTCCATGTCTGATGTAATAATAACATCATAAAGTCCTTTTCATTAACAGCTGGAGACTGAAATATCATAGATAAAATTACATGATATCCTGAATTTGGGTCAACATACTTTGGCAGATGTGAGACAAATCAGGGGTAGGTATGTTAATGATAAAAAATAGAACATAAATTAATAAATGTGAGACTTAGAGTATTTTTTATATTTCATATCAACACATGCACTCTGTGTTGCAACTCTTTACACCTAACAACAAACTGTTGAGTTGAGTCACTAAGATGCAGCGTCTGATCTGGGCTGGTCATAGAGGCCTTCTGGGGACATTTGGTTGTATTCTCCTCGCTGTGAACTGTTCAAGCGTTCAGGCCATCAAGACCGTACATAAATTTGGCACAGAAAAGAGTGAATGCACCTTTCACCCACTAACTCTACCACACTGAGAAGACACTGCAGACTACAGTGGATTGCACTGCATTGTGGTGCTAGATGGAACCCAGGGGCTCGTCCCGGCAAGACCCTGGCTTCATCAGGAGATGTCAGAAGAATTTTTCCCCTTTCCTGTCATATTACTGTTTACTGCAGTGCTGATGCCATGGTTTCAGTCTTTGATTGGATGTCTGGGAGCCCTACAGCACCTGCTAAATGAAGATGGGACAATAACACAGTTTCTATCCATACAATCCCATCTGGGATCCTACACGAGGAACTCAAGGGGAATAATCTCATTCTAAACAATTACCAGGCACAGTCACTGCACAAAAAGGAACATCCATCTTCTATTATCTTGCAATAAACATGGGATTTGGGCTTATGTTATGGTCTTATTTCTTTCCCTTTATTCCTTATACCCTTATTCCTTACCTTTGTAGGAGATGACAGGATGCTCGGCTCTCTGGCATTGGGTGGGATCCTGGGTCTCAGGGCGGGCGAGTCTCCACACTCCCAGGCTTGAGAACAGCCATGCAAGGATGCAGGCTCCCTTCATGGTGGGCAAGGGGTCTCTGACTCTGGGAACGTGTCTTCTACGAAGCTCACCTTCTCCTCATGTGTGAAAAGTACCTACAACACACAAGAGAACGGTCCAGTGAACATGAGCTCATGTTTCGTTTCCTGGTGGATAGCATTTTTGTGAAAGTCTTACCACTAACTTGAATTTGTAATATGCGAAGACAAGGGATGCTAAAAAATACGAAGAGCTTATGTTTGATAGTAAGTTATGCTTCACAGTTTGTGTGTGTGTGTGAGAGAGAGAGACTGCATGCAAGGCTGTGTGTGTATTAGGGTGTGGGGTAAATGGGTGTGTGTATGTGTACAGTATAGATGAATCTATTTGTTGTATATGTGTGTGTGAGCATATGCGTAGTACACATTGTGTGTATTTGGTATGGATGTGTGTGTATGGGCATTGATATCTGTATATTTGTGGATGTGTATATTGTTTATTGGCGTGTCTATGGGGGTGTGTGGTGAGTGAGTATATGTGTACAGTATTGATATATGTGTATTTGTGTGTTATATATGGGTGTGTGTATAGTATAGATTGTGTGTATGATTGTAGATGTGTATGTGTATTAGTATGTGTGTTTAATGGTGTGTGTGTATGGGTATGTAATGTATAAGGAGTATGTATGTGTATATGTATTTAGTAATGGTGTGTTCTGTATGAGCGCACATGTGTATATATAGGGTAAATTGTGTTGGTATGGATGTGGATGTGTGAGTGTATTCTAATGGATATGTGTGTATGGCTGTGGAAGTGTGTGCATACATGGGTATATGAATGTGTGTGTTTATGACTATGGATTTGTGGGTATTAGTGTGCAATGTGTGTGTGTGTGTGTGTGTGTGTGTGTGTGGAGTGAGTGTATGAATGTGTGCATGTCTGTGTGTGTGTATAGTATAGATTGTTATGTATATGGGTGTGGAAATATATGTGGTGTGTGTGTATGGGCGTGTATATGTGCATATTATAGACTGTGTGTATGGGTGTGTGTGAATACATGAACTAAATCTGAGACAATTAGCATTTAAGCTCTCTTAGGTCACACCCCTCTTTAGGAGTGGTGATTAATCGCTGTGATCATTGTTGGGGCTTTCCTTGTAAGTCTGTCTTGGCCTGTTTGTGCAAACAGAGTTGACACGCAGTAACTCCATCACTCTTTATCATTCATAGATGCTATTTAATAAGGCCACAGTCTTTGCCTTTTACCAACAATCTGATTATTGATATGGCTCTTAATTCCTGTCAATCATCCTAATGGCAGTATAAATTTATGGATGATTTATCTGCAAAACCTGTGACCAGGTAGGAATCCAATAGAACAAAGACTGAGCAATCCCAGGTGGGGTAAAAGGATGAGGCTAGAAACTGAGCCAACTTCAAGACTGTGAACAAAACACACTCTAAAGTAAGGCAAACCTGTGTAAATAACTACAACCCAAGCTCTTAAGTTTAGAGGAAGTAAGAGTACCTTGGGAATGAAGGCAGGGCGCCCCTGCCATTTAGAGGGATCAAGTCTAGGCTCACCAAGGATTCAGACTGGAATTTAATATTGAAGGATAAAGAGGATTTCAAACGACAGGGATTTCGGGAAAGTCGTTCCACACCAAGGGAAGAGGACGAGAAAGCATCTGAGGAGTGAGTAAGCAGGTGACACGCAGCAGTAAACATCAGTCCTAGGATTCTCTTCTGTACTTGGTACAGACGCCAGGTAATACAGAGAGCAGAGGAAGAGCTTGGATATAGGTTATATAATATGGAAAGAAAATTGTGGTAAGGTGTAAGGTATTAACTGTTAGGCCGCACACCACTGTAGCTTATTCACCCTGGAAGAAATATATAAGAAACAGAAAAATAAAACAGTCTGTTGAGGTAATTGCGGTGAGAACAACAGAACGTTGAATAAGTTTTTTAAAGTTACTGCAATTGTTCAGAGCAATGAAAGGAATTGGCTTTGGACATCATGAGGAAGAAACAGAGGCAAAGGATGGCTAAGAGTAAGTATGGTTGGTCAGAATGGTCACAGAGTTGAACTTGCAGCCCCGCCCCATCATGATGGGGCCCTCTGCCCTGTGAGTCTGGGCTGCTCTGTAGTGGCGCCGTGCAGCAAAGCACACAACAGAAGTCACAAACCAGGCTCTACAGCATGACAGCCACCTCCTGCCATCCAGAATGCATTCCTCAAAGAATGGAGGAAGCAGAACAGAAATTCAGCTCCCTAGGCCTGACTCAGGAGAGAGAGCAGTTAGGTGGTATGGGGGCTAGAACACATAAAGCCCAGCCTTCCAACCACCATTGCCGAGATTAACCCAGAAGCACACTGAGGGTCCTCATGAGTGTCACAAAGTCAGAATAAATGCCCAGCTGAGCCCTGCCCAAATCCCCGAACACCAATATGTTATATTGAAATATATTACAAATGGCTATTGTTCTAACCTATTGGATTTTGGAAGTCAGGACAAAGTGACTCAAAGTGATATAAATGACTATCAGGATGGGACTGTTATTCATTTAAATAGTATCCACCGAAGGCCTGCTGTATATGAAACTATGGTACTTAATTTTGTACATCCTGAATGAATAGTATGAAAAATCCCATAAGCTCTAGCTCAGGTGATGTGGAAATTAATCAGAAGAAGCATAGAAAGCCTGGAAAGGCTGAGATGATAAATGGGCTGATCATCATGTAGGGGAAACATGATAGGCAAGGAGGAGGCCATGTTAGATGGGAAAGAAGACTGGATTCTGCCAATAGATAGTCATCAGCAGCAAGTGGGGGTCTCCAAAGAAAAGGAAACAGAAGCCATGTATCAAGTAACAAAGACAGTAGCAGGCCAAGAGAAGTAAAGTATAACTCACTCTTACATGAGGTAGCCAAAGAAAATGCAACAAAATAAGATTAGCACTAAAAGACTCGGAATTTTTAGGCCTGAGAAAGCAATTTGGCACACAAGCACATGCTGAAATGTACTGTTCCATGCAGTGACCTGCTGAGTGGGGGCAATTAAGAGTGATTAAGGCTATTTGCATGAGGGGAATTGATGGCACGGAGAGTGAGATGCCAGACAGGCCACTTCAACGTCCTTGGCTTCTGCCTCATCCTCCCATGCACACCACCTTGCTCTGCTCTGCACAGCAGCATGGAGGATGCAGTAGAGGGACCCTCATCCATCACTGCCCCTTGATTCCTGACTTCTAGCCTCAGGCACCAAGAAGAAATAATTTCTTTTCTTGGAGAAATCACCCAGTGTCTAAGATTATTTTATAGTGAAGGGGGAAAAAAAAGAGCACATCACAGATAATTAAAAACAGTCCATTTTCTGAGAAGGCTGAGTGGAGAAGAGATTAGAGATTGAAGAAGGAAAGGTGAAGGTGGCCCTGCCTGCCACCCTAGCACTTAGAAGTCTTGGCTGGATGATTATGAGGTCAGCACCAGTGTGGGCTGCATAGTGAAACAGTGTCAAAGAGGATAAATGAGTGGAAAAGGCAGAGAAGATACCATATGAGAGAATACCCAGAAAAACTTGCAATGATCAGTTATTAGAACGAATTAAAGGGAGGAAAGGTTTCATCTTTAAGAAGCAGTAGATATTTATATTTATATATTAAATGCATATATTCTTTCATATTAATATTAAAAGATTTAGAAATAGAAGAATGCATCGAGTGGGTAGATATCCTTGGAAAAGGTCCTAGACTTTTAGTAGATGGAGAGGTATTTCTGAGGGCTAAGGCAGGGATGGTGAGAACCCTTAGCAATGGGAAATTTAAAGGAACTGACTGGTATTGGTAAAAGTAACAATATCCAAGTGTCTCCTTCACTCACCGTTTACTGAATACCAACTACACACCCTTCACTCCATGCATATGTGAATATGTAGAGGGGTCCAGCAACACAGCGTGGAGGAGGTAAGCCTTAGAACATCCGTACATGCCAACAAGGGCACAGGGATGAGCACACATAGCAATGAGACTCCCTGAGACCAAGAATCCCTCAGCAGACAAAGGTTAGGTCCTCAGCAATGTAAAAGATTCTAGATGTTCTCATTGGAGACAATCCTCAGGTAGAGGGGAGATGCGAATGAAGGGGCTACAAACCAAGGCAGTGAGGAGAGAGTTTCTGGGGAGGAAGAGGTAAAGAGATGTTTAGGGGTGTGGAGATGAAATGGGTAGGCAAACAGGGAGCCAGAAGCTCAGCCCCATCATGGCTGGTGATCCCTCAGACACAGGATGCTGAAATAGATACAGACCATAGCTGCTAAGTTTTCCTAAGTTCAGATATTAAGGGTGTGTTTTTCCCATTAGAGAGCAGACTAAAACCCTACTGGGAAACAGCCTATCTTCACTTTTCCTCCTGGCATGAGGCTGAAGCCATTAAATGTCATCAGCTGGTGGATCTTAAAACAGACATGACTGAGCATGCGTTCTCTGGGAATCTGCTAGTCACACAGGCCAGAGAAGGAGGTAGAATATACCTGAAGATCTTCACTCTGGAAAGCTAATCCTGCTGGGCCTGCTCCCTTCCTGACCCCTTCTCTACCATGTGGGGCAGATCTTCCCCTTAACCTTGCCTTCCCCCATTCATACCCTTAGTTCAACCTCCATCTCCAGCAGAAGGTTCCAGGGTTCAAAGCCTAGTCATCCTCTGCCTACACAGGCCAAGAAAGCGTCAGGATAACTACAGATCTTTATCCCTCTCCCTTTTCATTCACATCTGACCCCCCAGACTCACGTCCAGCTCTGTAGCAGAACACCTGCTTTACCATGCCTCCCTGTTTGTTCCCATTTCCAGGGCATCACATAGATCTTCTTCAATCTTTCTCTCCACTCATTCCTTTATCTCAGATGCCATCAGGCTTTTTATGGGAACCTGCAGGCAGCACTGCCAGAGAAGTAAGTAGATTCACGAATCAGATAGGTGGGTTTCAGATCTCCAGTCTTCCTCAGTGCTTCCAAATCCAACTTCCTATTGCCATCACCAGCTCTGTAACAGACTACCCAATGGGGACTCGCCTTTCTCTCTGCCCCTGTATCCAGGAGACTAAGCAGATCCTGGTGG